AATCAACAAAATTGCATGGGTTAAATTTTTGTGTTCCCTCCTGTTAATTTTGTGTTCCCAGTACGTTCTCTCCTGTTCTTGTGTATACAAGGCTAATATGACTGCACACCCTGATGATACAATGATGCTACAGAATTTTTAGGGGGGGACAAGGCCCTGAGATTTACCGAGACTGCATCAATCGTCAATGACACTTTCACTAATCTTCCCTCACAGCACCCAGACCAGAGAAGGCTGCTGGCACGCTAGCCGAAAAGTTGCCTGCAATGATCCTACCTCTAGGGCAAGGATGGCACTGTGACCAAGCTGTCGCAACTCTGCTGATGAATTGTAGTGCCATGTAATATCCAGATCCATCAAAGCAATGAGAACCTGCAACTTGTTTCAAGCACAGGAGGTCACAATTCAAAGCAGGGTTTGTGGCCCTGAAATTGCACTTGGACTCTGATGTTAAGAGGAAAGTTGTAAAATAGTGTTCGTTTTGTATAATCATTTTCCTAAATTCTCTGTTTCTCTGACATTAACTAACCAATTTATAATTTTGGGTAGGGGACTGGATGGGGTTTTGCCCAATCAGTTCTCTGCCCTTTAGATTAAAATTATTGCATGATTATATACATCTTTGTCAGCAATATGGCCAACAAGAAAAAAGTCATAAAAATGGTTCGGATTTTGTTTGGTATGTTTTGTTTAAATTAATCATTTTCATAAATACTCTGTTTCTCTTTAATTTTTATTTGACCAACTGAACTTATTATTTAAATAAATGGGGTAAGGTTGTTGGTGAGTAGGTGTGCCACTGACAAGACAGCAACCCAAGACTCAAAACTCTAAATCCAGGGAAAAAACCAAAATAATTACCCAGGTTGCAACCTCCTGAGTTGGAGAATTTTGAACCAATTGCAGACACCAAATTTGTACTAGAGAAGTATAACACAATGCAAGCATCACACAAATGCTGATATTCATCAATGATCAATGCCCATATGGTGACAGCAAAGCCTGACCTGGGAGGAAGATAGGGAAAAGTTTTGTCCAAAGCCTTCCAACTTGTTCAAGTCACTTTCACTTGTGGAATAAAATCCATGGTGCTGAATTGATGCTTTGCACGGCGCTTGCATGTTTGTGACAGGAAAATTTTATTAAATCTGACACCCATGATCAACATCAGATTTATTATAAGGAACCATAATTGATAATAATAATTTATTTCATGAATCCCAGAGATCTGGGTTGACACATTATTAAAAGTTTCATTCATGCATGGCCTTGGTATCATTACTACCTGGATGATGCAATTGTTTGTTATGTCAATGACAACATCAAATGTATCGCATAATAATCATGACCAATGAATATTTGATGGATGGAGGCATTCGCATACAAGGAAACAAAGGAAATGATTAAATAGTAAGTCATGTTTGTTTTGTTAAAAACATATGATTAATTATACAATAAAAAAAAATTGCATTGAATCCAAAGACTGCATCACTATGTCAATCAAGCTATCAAGCTGTTATGTTTGTGCATGATTTAAAATTCTTTTGTGCTAATTTAGGATCCCATCTTTCTTTGCTTATATATAATCTATTGGCTCTCTTTTTACTGGTTGAATGATGCCAAACTGGGTAATGGGGTATCAGTAAATATTAGAATATGATATCTGACCAATATTCTTTAAAAAAATAATTTTGGTATTGGCATACTGATAAGTTGATAATATTTTTATCATATTGTCTAAAAGCCTACTAGTAAATATTGAAAGTGTCAATATTTATCAGATATTCTTTTATATTGTAATTAAATTATTGGTTAAATATTTCTAAAGCTTTTTGTGCTAAAGTAATATCATAATCTTGAGCATTAGTTAGGTTTCTATTCAAATAAGGTTTACTTGAATAAAACAAACAATTCGAGTAAAAAATAATTTGAATAAAATGAATAATAGTAATTTGAATAAAAGCAAATAAAGCAAATAAAATGAATAAAATGTACAGTCAGAACTCATTAAGACAATGCTTTGATAAACCAAATATACATGATAAACCGATGTTGTTTTATTATCTACCTAATTACCTCAATAAGCCAATTTTTTTAAATCAAAGTTTTTTTTTTTGAAAATATTGACTTTGGTTTAACGAGTTCTGACTATATTATGAATAGAAATCATGCATTAATATTAAAATAAAAAAAAACAACAAGTGGTAGTCAATTTAAACAGCATTGTTTTTAAAGAAAATAATATTGTTAAATGTATAAAGTTTAATGATTTTTAATGTTGCAAATTTCTTTGATGTCAATCTCAAAATCAATATGTTTATATACTTTAAAGTTTTTTTATTTCTTTTTTTGATAAATAATAAAATTTATTTGCTTTAGTAGATTTTATTAAATCAAAAATGGTACACTACAGCAAAGTTTCAGAGAACCCAAGCATATCAATTACACGAAAACACGCTATTAAGTTAACTTATTACAAAGTCACTTTTAAAGTACAGCGAATTCTTGTTCCTTATATACATGTTTAATTAATATTAATTAATATCCCAGTCTGGGCGAATTGTCCCATTTGGGATTATTGCCATTAATTCCTTCCAATTAGAACCAACAAATATTCAAAAAGAGTCACATCAATTTCCACCATTGAACCAATAATCAATTGGTTGTATACTCATAATGATCAAATCTGGTATCAACCATGAATGAAAATAACTTTATTTATTTCTATTTGTGGATTATGGAAGATTTTTTTTTTTACAAATTAACTAAACTTTTCTACCAAAAAAATTTTAATTAGATTTGGAGAATGTTATTTTCCTTGGGTTAGGAGACGAGGTATTGAAAGTAATAGAAAATTTTCCAAGTGGAAATATTATTATTAATCAACATGTGAATTTAAAAATAGCAAAATAGTGTGTGTAACATTGACATTTTTCCCATCAAGAATAATAAATTATTATTCTAAAATGTCTTCTTTTTCGATAATTAACGAGTTCATGTCAAAT